CACGCGCCACCAGGCCTGGCTAATTTTTTTTTTTTTCACTTTTTGTAGAGATAGGGTCTTGCTGGTCTAGAATTCCTGGGCTCAAGTAAGTCTCCCACCTTGGCCTCCCAAAGTACTGGGATTACAAGTGTGAACTATGGCACCAGCCGACAAGTCTTTTAGCTCATTAGGTTTGACACTGTCTCTGTGATCATAGGTGCATGCCCATAAGCCACAAGGCAGGCAAACTGTGGTTTAGTAAGTAGTAGTAACGCCACTGGGAGTGGCAGGCAGCCTTCGGTCCTGTGACTGGCTGGCTCTGTGTCCTCGTGTGCAGCAGCAGGACACAGCTCTAAATCTCAGCTACTCTTACGGTCCCCTCCAGGCTCAGCAGAGTTCCTGGAGTCAATCATGTGTGTCAGCCAAAGCTCTCGGTGATGGCTCCAACTCATTCAGGGTTGGGTCCACCACTGACCTGTATCCAAGCAAATGCTTGTCCCACCAACACAAGCGTTTACACAACAAACAATAATAGTTGCAAACCCTTTTTAGGGGTGACTACTTCCACAAGAGAAAACAGGGGCGGATCCTGAGCGTCAGGCACATCCAGGCCATGCACACTGACATGACACTGCTCCATCCTCACAAGCAAAGTGAGTTTTTAGAAATATTATGGGAGCCGGTCCAGAAGTAAATAGTAAAGACATTAAAATTATGCATGTTAATTCTACTTCACTATAAATAATCACTAATGTGAACAAACATGTCTCTACAAAGGGTCCATTATCTTATATCACTGTTTAAAACAGCAAAAAGGCAAAGTGTGCTCAAAGAGGTTGGGCTAAGTAATGATGATAAATTCACACGGTGGAATAGTTTTCAGGCATTAAAAAATCATGTTGCAAAAGGACATTTACAATGAGAAAATGGTCATGGCACATAGTAAATAAAAAGCAGATTAGGAAAGAGTATTATTGGATCCTGTTTCTGGAAATACGTAAGTCTATACGTATGTGCATACGTGTGTGTTTGTGTATCTATATTTGCTCCCTGTGCATAGGAAAACAGAAATAGACATGACAAAATGCAAAGCTGTCATCTCTGGGGGGTAAGATTGGTAATTATTTTCATTCTCTTCATTGAGCTTTCCTGTGCAGTATGTTTTTTAATAACTTCAACTTTCAGATTCAGGGGGTACACGTGCAGGTTTGTTACATGAGTACATTGCGTGATGCTGAGGCTTGGGGCATAATTTATTCTGTCACCCAGGCAGTGAGCATAGTATCCAATAGTTAGTTTTTCCACCCTTGCCCCGTTGCCTCCCTCCCCCACCTATTAATAGTGGCCCCCAGTGTCTACTGCCATCATCTGGCACCCATGACTACCTACTGTTTAACTCCTACTTGTAGGTGAGAACATGCTGTATTTCATTTCTGTTCCTGCGTTAATTCACTTTGGATGATGGTTCCAGCTGCATCCATGTTCCTGAAAACGACACGACTTTGATCTTTTATGGCTGTGTAGTATTCGATGGTGTGTATGTACCACATTTTCTTCATCCATCCACCACTGATGGGCACAAGTTGATTCAATGACTTTGCTATTGTGAATAGTGTGGCAATCAATGTATGAATGCATGTGACTTTTTGGTTATTTTCCTTTTTAAATGGTAGTCCTGTTTTAATTTCTTTGAGAAACTTCCAATGGCCCTGCACAGTGGCTAAATTAATTACATTCCCACCAACAGTGTATACACATTCCCTTTTCTCCATGGTCTCACCAGCAACTTCTGTTTTTTGACTTTTTTAAAATAGCCATTTTGATATTATTAAAAAGTCAAAAAAACAACAGATGCTGGCAAGGCTGTGGAGAAAGATAACACTTTTACACTGTTGGTGGGCAGTAAATTAGTTCTGCCATTGTGGAAGACAGCGTGGTGGTTCCTCAAAGACCTAGAGGCAGAAATATCATGTGGCCCAGCCATCCCATTACTGGGTATACAACCGAGGGAATATAAATCATTCTGTCATAAAGATACGTGCACACATAGGTTCACTGCAGCACTATTCACGATAGAAGAGACATGGAACCAACCTAAATGTCCATCAATGACAGACTAGATAAAGAAAATATGGTACATATATACCATGGAATATTATGAAGCCATAAAAGAGAGTAAGGCCATGTCCTTTGCAGGGACATGGATGGAGTTGGAAGCCATTATCCGCAGCAAACTAACGCAGGAACAGAAAACCAAACACCACATGTTCTCACTTGTAAGCGGGCGCTGAATGACAAGAACACATGGACACAGGGAGGTGAACAACGCACACTGGTGCCTGTAGAAGGGGAGGAGGGGAGGAGGGGAGGAGCGGAGGAGGGGAGGAGGGGAGGAAGGGAGGAGGGGAGGAGGGGAGGAGGGGAGGAGCGGAGGAGGGGAGGAGGGGAGGAGGGGAGGAGGGGAGGAGGGGAGGAGCGGAGGAGGGGAGGAGGGGAGGAGGGGAGGAGGGGAGGAGCGGAGGAGCGGAGGAGGGGAGGAGCGGAGGAGGGGAGGAGGGGAGGAGGGGAGGAGGGGAGGAGCGGAGGAGGGGAGGAGCGGAGGAGGGGAGGAGGGGAGGAGCGGAGGAGGGGAGGAGGGGAGGAGGGGAGGAGCGGAGGAGGGGAGGAGGGGAGGAGCGGAGGAGCGGAGGAGGGGAGGAGCGGAGGAGGGGAGGAGGGGAGGAGGGGAGGAGGGGAGGAGGGGAGGAGCGGAGGAGGGGAGGAGGGGAGGAGCGGAGGAGGGGAGGAGGGGAGGAGCGGAGGAGCGGAGGAGGGGAGGAGGGGAGGAGGGGAGGAGCGGAGGAGGGGAGGAGGGAGGAGGGGAGGAGCGGAGGAGGGGAGGAGGGGAGGAGCGGAGGAGGGGAGGAGGGGAGGAGCGGAGGAGGGGAGGAGGGGAGGAGCGGAGGAGCGGAGGAGGGGAGGAGGGGAGGAGGGGAGGAGCGGAGGAGGGGAGGAGGGGAGGAGCGGAGGAGGGGAGGAGGGGAGGAGGGGAGGAGCGGAGGAGGGGAGGAGGGGAGGAGGGGAGGAGGGGAGGAGGGGAGGAGGGGAGGAGCGGAGGAGCGGAGGAGGGGAGGAGGGGAGGAGCGGAGGAGGGGAGGAGGGGAGGAGGGGAGGAGCGGAGGAGGGGAGGAGCGGAGGAGGGGAGGAGGGGAGGAGCGGAGGAGGGGGAGGAGGGGAGGAGGGGAGGAGCGGAGGAGCGGAGGAGCGGAGGACAGCATAAGGAGGCACAGTTACTGGATGCTGGGCTTAATCCCTTGGTGATGGGATGATGTGTGCAGCAAATCCCATCGCACACGTTCACCTGTGTAACGAATCTGCGCGTCCTGCGCACGTGCCCCTGAACTTAAAAGTTGAAGAAAAAATACATAAAATGATTTGTAAAGTAGCCATTCTGGCTGGTATGAGATGGTATCTCACTGTAGTTTTAATTTTCTGCACTGTATTCTTGATACTTCTCTCAATGGGAACTACTTTTATAATCGCATTTTTCAAAAGAACAAAGGAGAAATTCAAAAATAAAACATGTTTAAACTCTTTTGGGTAATGTAGCCTCACAGAGTGAGTGCCCAGCAACCTAGTGCCTGCTCTAGGAGGACAAGGCTTGCGTGGGTGTGGAAATCCTGCTCAGCATTTCACTTCTGTAGACCAAGTTTTCCTCTATGAGAAAACAAGAAGTTTTCACAAGAGAGTCTGAAACTGCCCCCCATCCTGATATACTGCCCTTTAAGTCATATCTTATTTAAATCACTGAAATATTTAAAGGATGAACCGAGACTCACACTCTAACAAATGTTCTCGAGGGTAATTTCCAGAACTGTTACTTAATCCCACTCCCAGCCCCACACGGAGAGCGGAAAGCAGGTACAGAGGTGTCAGGACGACCGCAAATCATTTCCATGCTCTTTGTCCAGGGAGCCCTGACATTCAATGACTGCCAGAATTGCTGTCTCGTTGGAAACTTGCCCTCGTGCCCTTGGCAAGTTACAACCTGAGGTGAGTCAAGCAATAAATTTGACTTATTTTAACTGCCCTGAAGGGCAGACTCCAAGAAAGCAGCCGAATGCTTCTGGAAGCTGGTGCTTGTGAACAGTGCTGGGGCTGCTGGTGTGTCCTGCATGGAGCTCTGGGTGGCACTCCAAAGACACAGAGAAGAGCAGCTTCTGTAAGATGTAGCAGGGAAGCCCTTACCTAGTGCTGGCACATTACGTATATTTTATCATTTAGTCCTTACAACAAGCTTCTGAGGTATCGATTATCATCTCCATCACACAGGTGAGGAAATGGACGAACAGCAATATTACAACTTAGAGAAGCAGATGCCCTCAAAATAATTCACCCATGTAATATTCCACAAAGTAAGCCCATTTTTTAAGTAAAAAGTATGTTGAATTCTAAATATCAACAGGCTATCTGGCTTAAAACTGTGGTTTTATTGCTTACAAAAAAAGCATGTCTCTTTAAACAAATTAAATGGTTATTTTTACTAAGAATCAAGTGATAGAAACAGCGTGATGGAATGTTCTGTCCTGCAGACCTAACAAATGTCTATCAGGTATAAAAATGTTGAGAACTTGCGACAAATCTTTAAATTTAGCATTATAATTAGCTTCAGCACTTCAATGCACTTCAGCACTGCATAACTCTAAACTTTTCCTGATACCTGTCTTTCCAAACCTCCCCCCCAAAACAAAAGGAAAGTGAAGACTTTAATTGTGTGGCGTGTCTCTAAGATGACTATCTCCTCTGCACGTCTGAGCCTCTCTTCACTGCCTCCCACCGCTTGGTTACTTAAGTGCTTTGACACGTATGACAAGCTTGCACAGCCTGCAGTGAAGCCTTCTGACTTCAAGAGCAATGCGTCCTTGCAGGTATTCCCAGCTAAACACTGCTTCTGTAAAACTTCAATTATTCTACGCTGACATTTCGATTTTTACCAAGTTGTCCAATTTATTCCATTTTAGTTGTTAGAAGTGAGCACTTACTTCCTTCAACTTCCTTATCTTTGCAGGCTTTCGGGGAACTATATGAATATAACTGCAGAAGAAGAAAGAAGAAAACATAATTAGAAGGCAGACAGTTACACAGAACATTCAGACTCTTGAGAGACGAGTCCTTTTTGGGCTTAATAGATACAACCCCACAGCAGTTTGGAACTAGAATCTAAAACCTTCCCAGTGTTAGAACCTCCGTCAGAATACAGCAGCGATGCTGTGGGAGGACAGTTTTCACACTGGGCACCATTGGCATTGCCCCTTTGAAGTGTCTCTTAAGTGACATTGCTTTCCCTTATTAAAGATTATTAAAGAGAAACCTGAGAAATTATCTGATTAACAGCACTTTTTAAGCAGATCACTGAAGGCCCAGAACTGTGAGCTCATCAATGTTCCCACTACAGGCTAAGGTGGGAACAGAAACCCAGACCTTCCTCCAGCTCCCCTGCACCTCCCCTGCTCCCTCCTCACTCCCAGAAATTCAACACTTCCCCTGTCGCCAAAACTGCAAACTGGAAAAGAGGCCCCATCATAAAATGTGTCCGAGTCCCATTAACACAATTTTTTTACCATTGGGCACTTTGGGGACTTCCATATTCCTCAAAAATAAAATGTTTTAATGGGTAATAAATAATACCTTCAAATTTATATGTGATATTAAGGTTTATTCCTGATTTTTAAAATACATGTTTTTGAGATCATCATTTTTGATAATTTTAGCAATAGTCAGAGAAGGGTCAATTTAGACTGATAAAGAAGGGAAACAAATAACTGAGCATCCAATCAAGAGGCACAGACGCAGGTCCCCATCAAATGATGACACTCGCCAAGGGTGGTCTCAGGGACTGGTGGGGGCTGTGGCTAGCGGGAGTGTCCTTTCCCGCTCTGAGGTGGACAGTGCCTCACAGGTCCAGACGGTGGAGACGCGCGCGGCTACGACCAAGTCCTCTGAACAGACAAATCCTCTATTTTTTTCAAGGACAACCAAAAGCTCCTATTAGTGCATGAATTCTCCCAACGATAAAATGTTGCAGCCAACTCAAATCTTTGAAAACTGTATGAGTGAAACAAACACGGCTGCTGGCTGAGCCAGCCTGCGCCCCTCCACTTGCTGACAGGCCCTTGTATCCGCTCCTCAACAGCTTAGTCTAGTCCACCTATTTTCCAAATAAATATTTTAGATGGCTTCTAAGTTCCCAAACTTCATATTTGCATATGAACATGAATCTTTCACATGAGACATCTGGTTTTCATTACATGGAACCGAAAAATAAAATGTAACACAGAAAAACTAACACATAAAAAGATCCTTCAAAAACACAAAATACGTTTATTATTTCAGTGTTGCACCCCCAAGAACATATATAAACAGAAGGAAAGGACCGTCGTTCCTCAGAGAGCCTCTGACCTGAGGTCTTTATCCCAGGCGCTTAGAGAAGCCTGCTGGGTGGGCTTGAGTTGCCCTGAGGTGGGCGGGGAGTGGGTCTGGGAAGCAGGGATGGGACCGTGAGGTGCAAGCTCCCTCCTGGCTACTTCCGGAGAACAAAGGAAGGGAAGGAACCACCCATGAGAGCCGGTGCCAGGCATTTCACAGTACTGCATTCATTCTGTTCTCCCAACGGTCCTGTAGACTGGGTGTTAAGCCAGGCCGCTTTATTGATGAGGAAACCAAGTCTTGGAGAAGTTATTTAACTAGTTAAACGTTTCTCAGATAGAGAAAGCCAGGATTAAACTCTACCAGTCTCTGGCTCTAACCCCAGCATTCCTCTATCACAGCTTCCTCTCCACCCACTTTTCCTCCTTCTCCTGTCATCTGCCAGTTCCCAGGGTACAAATGGGTGGCCAGGGAGATGAGAAGAAAATGCCGGGGTGAGGAAGAACCAGGATAGTTTGATTCAAATAGCACATTCACACTCACGTCTAAGCAACAAGCTCTCAGGTAAACAGGGTAATATTCCTAAGCATTCAGATTCTCTGGGGTCCCTCCCCTAAACATACATACACACATACACATACACACACATACACACGTGCACACATACACAACACCCTGATTTCAATTTTGTTGTAAATATGGCTTTCTCCACAAAAGAAATGTTAGTTCTAGGCTTTATATGACACTTTTAATTTTTTTGAAAAGTAATTATAATATTTTGTTTTATAAAGAAAAAAATACATTCTTTGGGTCTCAAATTAATGTACTCCAGATAATGCAGGAAATGTCTGAATAATGATTGGATATTGGAGAAATTTGTTGTTGTTTCTTTTTAATACACCATCTCAAAACTACTATTATGAGGAGGGGGGCTCCCGGATCACTAATCTATCAACGGGCTTCACTTCAAAGTTCATTTGCTGGTGACACAAATATTATTTTCTGGTGAAAATTAATTGAACTGCTCAACGGCTTAGCAATTACAGAACATAAATTTCCAGTGCTAGTTTATTTACTAATACCAGTGAAACTTCAGCGAAATCCAGCCACATTTTTCAGAGCTTTGTTCACCAAAGTCCGAATTCCAATTTCATACTCATTGACCTAAAAAAACTGAAGAAAAGGAACCCCATGTACTCTCCGTGTCGAACTTCACATGCAGACATGGCCCCTCTATTTTACAGCAGTTAGCATGCATGGAAAATGCCACATAACCAGGCCATCTGCCACACGGACCCCAACTCCCTTCTCTCTTCAGTGGGTGACATCTCTTTCCTCCCACAAAGTCATCAGAAACATGAAGAGCACTGGGAAGGAAAACATCTCAATGTCTTCTCTATGTATTTGCCACATGTCGACAACATTTTAAATAAACCATGAGACTGGAGACTCTCTCTACAAAACTGGAGGTGTAACAGGGTCTTTTGGAAACGCCTGGCCCCACAAGAAGGGAAAGAGCAACATCTCCCAAGAATGCTCCAGACTCTGTGGCAGGTGCTTCTGTGGCAGGTGCTTGACAGGTTTCCCTCCTCATTTACTAACACGCAAAACAGGCCAATTTTACAAGGAAATATCTTGGGATAAAATCAAATACTTTTCATTATATATTATTGAAAAGGACTTTAAAGTCAGTTTTGGGGAAATACACTCTTTAATTGTAAAACAACACAACGCTGATTCTGGGCAGGGTATCAGTTATAGATGTTCGTATCATCTGACCAACCCTGCAAATAATCACAAATCACATGGCTATAAAGCAATATAATTTTGTCCATGAATTCTGATACATAACAGGATTATCACAGTAATAAATTTCAATCTGAAATGTGCTAATCCAGATTCTACCTCTTCACAATTGTGATGCCTGTGACTTACGACTTTTCTTCAGAAACAACTGGATGGTAAATTCGCTTCTTTGCAAATGCCACTAAAAATCTGGAACCATACACAAGCCCTCACCCTAACTCCTATTACTTTTTCAAAAATACCAAACAAAACTCAAGCTGCTGATTTAATTCAGAGGATTTCTGAACTAGGAGGATTCCTGGCATTTCAAAGAAGAAGATGGAAATCCTCTCCGGAGAATCTCACTTTTACCTCAGCCCTTAAAGAATGTCCCCACATAAAGCTATACAAAAGGAGTAGTTCAGAGTCACACTACAAGTCAACCTACAGGGAAACAGAGGACCACGAGAGAAAAGCAGCTGAGATCACAAAAGGCAGACACAGGCTTCAATAATGGGATTGCAGACACAAACCGTGGGAGGACAATACTTTCATTAAAGGCAAGCTTGAAAATGCACGCAGGACCAAGAAGTGATGAACACAGACTTAGAGGGGCCACCCTGGGCGATTTCAAATGGGAGCTGCCCAAGCCGCCCCATTCCCACGCCCTGCCCCCAGTCTCCCACGCCCCTCCCCACGACCTTCCCACACCCTCCCTCCGCCCTCCTCACACCCTCCCCCACCCTCCCTTAGGCCCCTGTCCACACCCTTCCCCACCACTTCTGCCCCACCCCCCCTTAGGCCCCTCTCCACGCTCCTCCCCACCGTTTCTGCCCCACCCCATCCCCACCCCCACCTTAGGCCCCTCTCCACGCTCCTCCCCACCGTTTCTGCCCCACCCCATCCCCACCCCCCCCTTAGGCCCCTCTCACGCTCCTCCCCACCGTTTCTGCCCCACCCCCATCCCCACCCCCCCCTTAGGCCCCTCTCCACGCCCCTCCCCACCGTTTCTGCCCCACGCCCTCCCCACCCCCTCCCCCTCCCCCCCCCCCCTTAGGCCCCCCTCCACGCCCCTCCCCACCGTTTCTGCCCCGCCCTCCTGGCCGCTCCGGCCTCCTGATTCGCTGCGCCAGAGCCCGCCCTGCCCCGTGAGAAGGAGCCTCGGGGTCGGGGCCGCCTCGGCTTCGGCCGCAGGAAACCACGTGGCCCCGCGGCGGCCCGGACCCGCGCAGGACGAGGGGCCCCCGGGGAGCACGGCCCTGCCCGCGGCGCGCACTCACTCGAGCTCCTTGAAGCGCTCGCGGCCCGCCGCCTACGTACTCGCCGCCCGCCCGCAGCGCGTCCAGCGCCAGCACCGGGCGCCCCCGCGTGGGCGTGAAGAGGCGGCGCACGCCGAACGGGACGGGCACCTGCGCCGTGAGCTGCTCCAGCAGCGCCTCGAAGGTGGCGGCGCGGCGCCGCGGCAGCACGACCCTCCGGCCCGGGTAGAACGGGTCCCCGTTGCGGTACACCACGATGACCTTGGCGGGCGTGGTGTCCAGCAGCGCGGGGCGCCCGCGGGTGCCCATGGCCGCGTCCCGCTCCTCGCTCGCCGGGGCCGACAGGCGGCAACGCGGGCGGAGACGCCTGCAGAGCCGCGCCCAGGCCCGGGCACCGCGCACGGGAGGTCGCTCCAGCCGCGGGCGCGGGACGGAGACGGACGGGGCTGCCGGGCGGGGGCTGCATGTTGACGTGACCCCGGCGATTGTGACCTCCAGGGCGAGGGGCGCGGTGCCGGGACAGGAGAGGGGTAACGGGGAGCCCGGGCTGGAGAGGGGTAACGGGGAGCCCGGGCAGGAGAGGGGGTAACGGGGAGCCCTGGACAGGAGAGGGGGTAAAGGGGAGCCCTGGCAGGAGAGGGGGTAACGGGGAACACCGGACGGGTGAGGGGGTAACTGGGAGCCCTGGGCAGGTGAGGGGGTAACGGGAAACCCCGGGCAGGTGAGGGGCTAACGGGGAACCCCGGGCAGGTGAGGGGGTAACGGGGAACCCCGGGCAGGTGAGGGGGTAACGGGGAACCCCGGGCAGGTGAGGGGCTAACGGGGAACCCGGGCAGGTGAGGGGGTAATGGGGAACCCCGGGCAGGTGAGGGGCTAACGGGGAACCCCGGGCAGGTGAGGGGGTAACGGGGAACCCCGGGCAGGTGAGGGGCTAACGGGGAACCCCGGGCAGGTGAGGGGGTAACGGGGAACCCCGGGCAGGTGAGGGGTAACGGGGAACCCCGGGCAGGTGAGGGGCTAACGGGGAACCCCGGGCAGGTGAGGGGGTAATGGGGAACCCCGGGCAGGTGAGGGGCTAACGGGGAACCCCGGGCAGGTGAGGGGCTAACGGGGAACCCCGGGCAGGTGAGGGGGTAACGGGGAACCCCGGGCAGGTGAGGGGGTAACGGGGAACCCCGGGCAGGTGAGGGGGTAACGGGGAACCCCGGGCAGGTGAGGGGGTAACGGGGAACCCCGGGCAGGTGAGGGGGTAACGGGGAACCCGGGCAGGTGAGGGGGTAACGGGGAACCCCGGGCAGGTGAGGGGGTAACAGGGAGGCCGGGCAGGAGAAGGGATAATGGGGAACCCTGGGCAGGAGAGTGGGTAACAGGGAGCCCCGGGCAGGTGAGTGTCCTGGCAGCAGAACTCAGGAAAAGAGGAGGTGAGAGTAATTGTGCTGAGCGCCCCAGAGCCCTCCGGCTGCACTCGCTGCCCTCCTCTGCAGAGAAGGAGAGGGAGGGAGAGACCAGGACCATCTAGATAATCAGCATTGGGTGGGCGCTGGGAGCCTCTTCACATTTTTGAGTCCCTGTGTCTTTGATCTTAGGTTGAATTTGACCAGTTCAGCCCCAGAACCTTCTAGGACTCCTGGCCCAGGTGGGGAATTTGAGCTTCTCCACCGGAGGAGGAGCTGTGCAGAGCCACTGGGGGCCTGTGAGGAGCAGCGGCTGCAGCCACTGGCACATGGTGTCAGGCGTGTACCACTCCGAACACAGCCTCGTTTGAGTTAAGTCTCTGCCTGGGTTCCGTTCACAACTCAGGACTCGTGTGTTACTTTTGAGTCATACCTTACTGTCCTCCTGCACCTATAAAAGATACAGAAGTTTAACCAGTCTGATGTTTACAATGTAGTTTAAACTGTCTGGATGAGTATCATAATCAATAAGACTTATTACAACTAGCGCAAAATGGAAGTGATTTAATTAGAGTTGATTGTATGTAACTTTGAACAAAATTTTACTGAGATAAAGATTATAGTGCTGATGATTGATGACAGAAAAAAAAAGAATGATTCAAAGTGAGAGGTGGTCTTTGGAAAAGTCGTTCCTATTCTGGGTAAAGACAGGCCAGTCCTCTTGAGTGATCCTAGAAATAAATTTTCCCAGTGGTTTTGATGAGTTTGACAAAGTTTCAAAGACAGTAGGCTACATGTGCCTGCTGGAAGTCCACACTGAAGGTATGGAATATTGATATTATCAATATCAACCTCTTATATGTGAATAGCAACATCTTATAGTGTCCAAAAGAAAGTAATTCCTCAGAGACCACCTACCATTCTCAGCCACAGCCGGTATGTAACCTACCAAATGCTTCCTAGCAACATTAACTGCAGAGATCAATTTGTGAGACGACCACTTTATTAAATCATCAGGTGCTGAACACACTTGAAAAGAAGCCTGTGACTGGGAAATTACTGCCATGTATCTGACACCAGGGCTTTGTGTGTGTTAAGGGTTTGCTCTGAGGCCCACTTTTACCGAGAACTTCATCATGGGCTTCTCCCAGGGCCTTAAGAGGCAGATGGAGCTGGGGAAGCCCCTGAGCCGAAGGCGGCTCACTCCCCCGTCGGGGACAATGATGAGCCTGGCGTGAGTGATGACATCTTGGAACTCCAGGGTCAGGCTGTCGAACAGGTGACTTTGGTTGGGGGACAGCTGAAAAGCAAGCAGATGCAAGGGATCCTGGTCTGTTAAGAGGGCATGTATGGCCTAATGACCCCACACCCAGGGCAAACCTTTGCCTTGGACTTGGGCTTTAAAATAAGTGATTCATTGATGGTAATTGGGCTTTCCATGAAAATCTGCTAGTAGGGAAAGGATGCCCAAAGAATACGTGAATAATCAGGCCCCAATAAACAGCTGACTGGGCAACCTAAATGCCCATCAATTATCTCTTATAGTTGATTATACATAAGCAAATGGTAAGAAAGTGAAAGGAGATTATCTTGGTCTCTCTCCCAAGGTTATTTCCTATCTTTACATGGGAGTAGCTCTCACCTCCAGCCTGACTCTCTTTCTAAATCAAAGAAGACACTTGTGAAATATCTCAGAGTGTCCATCCTGCAGGTGGACACTCCATGATCGCTTAAAATGTGCTAGTCACCCCTTCTACAAAGTTTCCATGTATGCATTCTGAGCACTTAGCAATCTCGTTCTAACAAAATTTGACTAGAAATATAAAAGTGGAGAGAAATAGAGCCTTTCTTATTTAAGTTGGCAGATATGGGTTTTACAACCTCATTCATTTTACCCTTAAACTGAGCAGAAACCTTGGAGTTGTATCCTAATCCTTCAAAAGAGAATCTTAGGGAAATAGCCCAGTCTGAGTGCTGGCTCCTCCCAGCGCCACACGAACCTTGGTCACCGGAAGCAGAGGCTTCCACCTGTGGGCCGGGAGAATCCACTTTTGCTTGATCATGTCTTCTTCTTCCTGAGTTGTCAGGATGCACCCATCCACTTTACAGCTGTCAGGAGCATTGCCTGTTGCAGCAAAACACAGAGTGACTTTCTGCCCTTGTAATAAGAATGAAAAGCCCAGAAAAAGCAGAGGTATGAAGATGTGAGAGAAGGCGCAAACCAGTTTGTGATGCTCAGATTGCCTCATGAAATAGACACTTCCTTTTCAGAGCAATCAGAAGCAGTCCACCATATGTGAAGGGGCTGGTGCATTTCAGTTTTAATGCATAGTGTTTTTACTTTGAAATCTGAATGTATTTGATAAGCTCCCTCAACTGCAGATTTAATTACTTGCAGACTGTTGTGTGGCTCATCTGAAATTATTATGAAGATGGAAAATGTTTTCCTATGATACCATACTTTTTAACATGACGATCAAAAGGAAATACTGAGTTATATGTTAGCTAGTGCTGGGCATCAGTCACACACATGTATTTGGGAATTTCTGACTCCTCTTCAGGTGAGAGTATACACTCCTGAGAGTCTTCTGTCTTTGGAATACCATAGGAATCGTGTGCTCAGTGGGGTTAGAGGACCCTGGGGGGAAGGTCCCCCTTTCTTTATGAAGAATGCTTCTACTGGGGCTCTTTGAGACTTTAAGACCCACAGAGAAGAGCTGCTAATCAAGAACCCTGGACAAGAGGAGACAATGGCTCACATGCCCCCTTTGTGGCCCATCTCTTAAAACGGTGGTCTTCAGGATGGCTGAACATGCCCCTGGGGTACATACAAACACAAAGGATGCAAATAGAGAACATTAGTGACGATATTTCTATTTGATGAACATACATGTGTGTGTATATATATTAAGCTTTGTGTGTTCAATATAACTTACTATATTGCTCTAAGTGGATACTACCATGCTCCCTGATTTCCATGATAGTCAGTATATTGTTCCAGAGGTATCCTGAGTGACTGACAGTGGTAGATTCATGACCTGTTGCAATTTTGGTTACCTGCTTAAGTGGATTTACTGTTTAAACTAAAGCATCCTTCACAAAAATAAACAAGTTATTTTAAACCATTCATGCAGAGAACTGTGGATTAAACATACCACAAAAAATGCAAGCATGTATGAACAGGAAAATAGCAGAGCTGCCATTTCACCTGACCCTCAGTCAGCCACATTGAAAAGAAAAAAAAACATGGCCACATAACCAGGTCTAAAATGCAGTCTTAAAAAAAACAGGTAATGGAAAAAGGTGTTGGGATAACTGGCTAGCCATATGCAAAAGATTGAAACAGGACCCCTTCCTTATGCCATATACAAAAATCAACTCAAGATGGATTAAAGGCTTAAATGTAAAACCCAAAACTATAAACACCCTGGAAGATAACTTAGGAAATACCATTCTGGACACAGGAACTGGCAAAGATTTCATGATAAAGATGCCAAAAGCAATTGCAACAAAAGCAAAAAAAAAAAAAAAATGACATATGAGATCTAAGTAAACGAAAGAGCTTCTGCACAGCAAAATAAACCATCAACAGAATAAACAGACAACCTACAGAATGTGAGAAAATGTTTTCAACCTATGCTTCTGACAAAGATCTAATATCCAGAATCTTTTAAATAAATTTCCAACCAAAAATAACCCCATTAAAAAATGAACCAAGGACATAAACAGATGCTTTTCAAAAGAAGACACACACACAGGCAGCATGCATATGAAAAAATGCCTGACATCACTAATCACTGGAGAAATGCAAATCAAAACCACTGTGAGATACCATCTCACACCAGTCAGAATGGCTGTTACAATAAAAAATAAAAAAATAACAGATGCTGGCAAGGCTGTGGAAAAAAGGGACCA